TAAATCACAACAAAGATACACATGAGTCCATGACTGCATTAAAAGCTTTCAGATAAAGGCAGATACCTGCTAGGAACAGGTTAGAAAATGTAAACACTATGAGCTCTTTTATGTGTTCATGCTGTAGCTCCAGAGGTATTTACATGATATATGCTGTGTATTGCTACACTATTTGAAGCTTTGGGTGGTTAGTTAAACAAGAGAAGGCCTGATTCATGATTTGACTGGAGTTACGGTTGTGGCAGACACTTACACTGCATTGTGCCTTGCCCTCTTGGGCACTGAAAGCACTCTGGGTTCCCATGGTAGCTGGAGGCCTGCGTGACTGTTCTCCAGACTGGATTTCTGCTCCTGACAAGTTCAGCATCTCAGTACACTGTTGACTCAAAAAAAGTCTCAATTTGTTTTTCTGACTGTGTTCTCATTTTGGAGATAGATGAGTTATAAATAGAATTGAACAAATAGTTTCTTTTCTGGGATCAAAAGGAAAAAGTGCATCTTTGGTTGTCCCAAAACTTTTTTATTTAACAAATTATAATAATATAGTTGGGCCAAATTGAATGAAATGTTTGCTTCTGTGACATTTCCTATCATCCTTTGTTAATGAAAATCCAGGAAATCCGGGATTAGAGTCCCAAACAGTCTGGGAAATCTGCATTTTGATGGCCTCAGTAACTAAGTAAAAGCCCAAGGTCCCACTGAACTTCTCTGAGGAACACAGTGATCAAAGTGATAAAGTCCTGGAGCAGGAAAAGCAACACCAGCTAGCAGGTGTTGAACAGGTCCCTGAGCTGAGCTCAGCAGGAGCTGGTGGTGGCATCCCTGGGGAGAGGCCAAGCTGCTGTACAGGAGGGTGGCTGCTGGGGACTTCAACACAAAGGATTCAAACCTTGTTCATTTCAGCGTGCTCAAAAACGTTTTTTACCTTTCCTGTTCATTATAATTTGTTGCAACTGCCTGAGATGGTGGATGATCATTTGCATTCAGCTCCTCATCGTCATCATGGCTAGGCTTCATGAACGAAGATGTGGGAAGGACACTACCCACGTTTGCTACGAGTGCCCTGGTGGCTAAAAAGGCCAATACAAGATAGACAAGCCCAATTGCAAAAGGCACAGCAGAAAGACCCACTCCTTGGGTGGTATCCGCAAGACATGATTCTTTCTGCATTGTCTTTTCTCCTCGAGAGTGATCCTGCGTGCGTTCTCAAAGGAAGCAGCAGCGTCATAGATTGTGTGTCTCCAGACCTCCCAATTGGAGGCCAGAGTAAATCAGTGATGAAGATCAATATGGCCAAGGCTGAGATGTTGTTTCAGGGAGTCCTTATATCTCCTCTTCAGGGCTCCTCTCTTGCGGCAGCCGGTGGCAAGTTCACCATAAAGCACGATCTTGGGGAGGCGGTGGTCCTTCATCCTGGAGACGTGTCCTGCCCATCGCAGCTGTGTTCTCAGCAACATGGCATCAATACTCGTAACTGCTGCTTGTTCTAGAACAGACGTATTAGTCACATAATCTGGCCAGTGGATGTTTAGGATTGTACAGAGACAGAGATGGAAGCGTTCTAGGAGTCGCAGGTGGTGGCGGTAGACGACCCATGATTCGGACCCATATAAAAGAGTAGACAACACTATGGCTCTGTAAACACTGATCTTTGTACTTTTCTTCAGGTGTTTATTTCACCAAACTCTTTTATGGAGTTTTCTGAAAAGCGCTATATGCCTTTGCTAACCTGTTGTCTATATTCAACTCCTACTCTAACCCAAATAAGCCTGGTATTTGGCTTCAAGCACAAAAGCCTTCCAGAAAAGATGGCTTCAGCTGTAGAATGGAAACAGCTGTCCTTTCCTGATGCAAAAGTCAACATTGCTCAGTTGACTTCATGTCTACAGTCCATCTCCATTTCTTGATCTCTTCCTGGATCAGCACTGTCTGTCTGTGAGGGATTTGGTGCTATCATTTTGCATTTGGATGGCTATCTCCTATCCATAGAACTGGTGTTAAAATTAGGAAAGTAAGGGGTAATCTAAGAAAGTGGATGGTATTGTAGCTTTTCAATTTTAAAATTTGCTCTGAGATCTAGTGAATGTCAGATCTGGGTGGAAAGTTAGTACTTATGTCATTACTAGCTGGGTATCTGGAAAGTGGAGTGTGTGTTAAGTTTTATCTTTGATTAGTGAACAGAAAAATTGCTAAGGGATTCCCAAACCAAATAAAAAAAATAATAATTCAAAATGAAAATATTTTGACACAAATCTCTAGGATCTTCCCTCCAAATATATCAGCTGATGAGACAAATAATAAAGTCTTTTGAGGAGACTTCAGTTAGCTCACAGCTAGCCCACAAACCATAAAAGCAGATCAACTTGTTGAAAATACAGTTCACCAAAAATTACTGATTCTTTTCATATTTGGTATCCAGAGGGTTTCTATCTACTGAATTAAAATAGTGCTGTATCTTTAATCTCTAGTTGTTCTAATGGAGAAAGCAGGCAAAATCAACTCTCCATCTACTCAAGCTCAAGATTAAACAAAATTTGAGGCAAAAATTTTCAATTTTTTCAATTTTTCTGTTTTATTTTTCATGTATAAGGCACATAGCCCACTCTTTTCTTGTTCCTGGATGTTTGAATTGCCACTTTTTTTCTAATTCTGATATGTGAACTTTCCATAATTTTTCCTCTGGGATTCCAGAAAGAAATAGTGCTGAGAGTGACCTTGAAAAGTCATGTAGACTAACCTTTGGTCCTAAGACAAGATCTGCTACACCGTCTTAATTATTTCTAATGACAGCAGTTGCAAACTCTTTCCATGTAATCTACAACAATGCTTCCCTGTCCTTATTGTTTGAAAATATTCCTAGTATCTAATCGAGTGACTAACCTCATTTTTCCCTTACTAATCTATCAGTTGCCTTTTGTTCTCTATATCATGGCCGTTTGGAGCAGTGTATTTTTCTCTTTGAAGTGACTTTTACATACCTGAAGAGGTGTACTCTCCCACTTTTACCCTTTCAAGCCTTCACTTTGGGTTTGGTAATGAACCCAGGTGGTTCACAGCTTCCTTGCAGATCATTTGCTACACGTGTTACCTTCTCGCATATCGGTAGTGAGTCACGGGTAAGTGCTCTTGATGTACAGCAGATAAACTGAACTAGCAATGTTTTGCATCAGTCCTATAAATACTTCACCAAGACCATGCTTCCCTGTCTTGCTTATAAGAATGTTGCATGAGATGGTGTTGAAAGCTTACCTAAATCTACTGCTTCTTCCCAAGCTCTGAAACCTGTTGGCCTGCCAGAGAAACAAGTCTCATAGGCCCATCTTCATCTAGTAATTTTTTTTCAGGAGTTTAGAAGTAGTCTCATGATTTGTTCCAGGATTTTCCTTTGAATTGCTCATATTTTAACTTCTCTGTGAGCAACAATCCAAAAAAAGGGAAATAGAATACATTTTTTGCCTTTTTGATATATTCCTTTAGCAAATTTCCTCTGTTACTGAGAGGACAAATATTTCCCCTCTCTCATGTGCTAGAGGACCTCCAGCTGTTCTAGAGCAGCTAAGTGAATTCATAGTTATCCATTGCTTGTCAATCTCCCCTGTTGCATAAGAAAGGGACTAGAATTTTTTAACTACGCATATGAAGCAACAAAAATGTATTTCAGAGAATTTGATGAAAGACATCGTAAAACTTTATGTAGACTGTTGCAAAGACTGAGAAGAGTATATCTAATATCACCACAGGTGAAAAGAACAATTATTAAGGTACTTTTTATTCTCTTTGCACAGTTTACGTGAATCAGTGGAAAAGGAATGCAGATAATTTTCAAAGATAAGATGGATACAATTTCTTTGATTAATCTTTGCAACAAACTGTTGGTGACTGATTGCCCATCTCTTAAGACCTGCATGATTTTGTGTACCCCAGCAAATCACAAAATTAAATCTTGTTTGATTGAATGAAATTTTATTGACTTTCAAGTGTGTTGTTTCTGAGGATCCCAAAGCAGTATAAATGCTCACTGAAGTTAATAAAGCCACAGCAGCTTAGACCAGGTAGAGATTTGCTTCCCAGGGTTTTTAGAAAGAGATGGGTGACCTGACAAACTGCTCCGAAACAGAAATCCACGGGTAACAGGCAGAGGAAGAAGAGCCTTGTCAGCAAAGGGATGGGACAAGGCTGGTGGTGTCAGCAGGGCATGGGGCAAGGTCTCCATGATGAAGCACAAGTAGGACCAGAACTGTAAGGCCTTGAGGGAAGGCACAGAGGAGAAGGAGGGTAAACACAGAGCTGTGGGTTTTGCAAGGAGGGGTTGAGTTCTGAAGTGATAGGCGAAGTGACTGGCTTGACCATATTTCTGCCCATGCTCTTTTATTACCTTTACCACTAACGAGGATCTTGTCTAGCACAACAGGCTTCTGAGCTCTCCTGCAGCTCTGGTGGGTGTTTGTTGCTCTGTTTCGGCAGCATCCCTCCAAACAGCCCTGTGCTATCTCCCCCATGCTGTCCTCTCCTACTCCTCTGCACACTGGGATACTTTCCGGACACAGTGCTCTGCAGAGCACAAGTCCTGCAAGCACCAACTACTCTGGTCACAGCACCACTGTATATTAAAGTAATTTAGAAGAACACAAAAGATCAAAATTCTGTTTATAGAGCTAAATAAAAATTAATGTTTGCTGGAAACTGATACACGTTTATTAACACTTTTCAATTTATTGCAATGTTTGTAAAAAAACATTACTGATACATAGGTAAGTTTGGTGATTAAAGAATGACTAATGTCACCTGCCTCACCAACTGCACTATTTTGGTTAAAAAGGCATGTCACAGGTATTTAAATAGGGTTCAATTTAAACCAATTAATAAAATAGCCTGTTTGGACGAAAAATAATTGTTCTCTGAGAATACATGAATTCAACACTGCTAGAAAATCCCTGCCATCTGACGTAGAGGGATTTATAGGTTTAGTGGAAATTGCTTTCCCCACTGTCCAGATTAAATACTGCAGGATGATTTTTTGTATGAGTAAACATCCTTCCAATAACAATCAGACCGATAATGTCTTAAAAAGAGGAAAAGGATCTACATTTAGGTTTTCTTCTTCTTATATGGACTATTTCTGGATACAGGACCTTAAGGTAACATGTTGACTGTCCATAAAATGCATTTTAGCATCTTCCTCCTGTTGTGGGGATGGATTTTATCCACTGAGTGCAGAACCCACCGACAAGGAAAAGAAATACATGAGGTATACAAAAAAGGCAGGTGAGTCTCATTTTTTTACATTCAAATAGCTACAGTTTGGACAAATGCAATGTTTTGAGTGATGATAAAATGACTAACAGATAATTAGAGCTTGCATTTGCAGATTGTGATCTCTCAGGCAAAAATATTTTCTGTTGTTGCTTTTGCCAATGACTAAGTTTTAATGCATTTTCTACAGTGAAAATCACTGCTTCTCTCAAAAAAAAGGGGTTGTGAGGTATCTCAAACTTTGAAGGGGTGCAAAAAAGGAAACATTTATATTTGTGGTGGTTAAAATCTGGTAGGATATTTACATGAAAGTGAAGATGAAATTTAGGTCCATGAGAATTTTTGCATTCACTGAAGATTAGATTAACTTGAGATCTCAGATGAAAACATTCAGAATTTATTTTATTGTTTCCATGTCATTTGTTTTATAGAGCTTTTGAGAGGAAAAATTAAAGTCTCAGCAAACTTCAAGGCTATGTTCAGTTATTAGAGGAAACAGAAAGAGCATTCAGTTATTGAATTAAGATATTAAAATTATTTAAAATGTTGCCTGTGGTCTATTGTTCTCTCTCTCTCTCTCTCTCTCTTACAAAAAGACTATGTGATATTTTGTTTCCACTATCTTGTAGACAGCCATTTTAGGAGGTTTTGAGTTAAGGAAGGTTTTTTGCTACAGCTGAGTTCTGATCACTTATATTCTATTTTGGGGAATATTTGGAACATTGTATGAGGATTTTTATACTCAGGTACACAACAAGGTACACCTGGAGGAAAAATTTTTTTTTTTTGGTAAGAATATAGGTGACATGTTTATCATGTTTCACACATGAATCTTTCTGTCCAAATGCTGCATACTTCTGCTTGTGACAGACTGAACCTATGTTGTTTATGCTTTGGTATAATGTCTGTTCTTTAATGACTATCAGCATCAACACTGTAAAATGTATAAGGATGTGGAAATGCAGGAATGTCACAGTCCTGAGGAATTCAAACCATTCCTATTAGCCTTCAGAAAAAATGACTGAAAGGTGGAAGGGATGGAAAGTGCCTTTTTATTTTCCTGCAGCCCCTTGTAGCAAGTGAGGGCTACATTACAGAGTGACTGCAGTGTCCTGGTTGGCACTTGGGGGTCCCTGAACCATTTTATACATAGGAAGTGGCTTTAGCAGTGACATCACCTTCATGGAATTATAACTGGCAAAATGAATGCAGTGGCTCTGTTCCTAACCAGCACCCAGGGGACGCATCACCAGAGACAGTATGGATACAAAACAGCCACAAAGCCCTGTTTTCACTGAGGCTTCATGGTAGTGGCAGCAGAGGTCATATGTTGGCTGTAGCAAAATAAAGGGATGAGAAGTAAGGTACCACCATTTGAGCTGGAAAGCATCCAGCTGAGAGAAATGTGCACACGTAGCCATGTTCTTGTTTAGCATCTTTAACAAAAACTCCCACTGCACTAAATGCTAAACGCTTAAGTGTCAGTGCAATGAAGTGATAATATAACAAATCACAGCACCAGAGTGTTAAAAATGTGTGAAAACAGAAAAGAAATACCTATTTGGTTAATGTAGGAACTGCCTCTTCGCTTGTACTTTGTATATAAGGTGTAATTGTGCCAGGATAAGCCCATTAGAAAGCCCTGAGCTGTTGTGGCTCTGGGAAGCTGGCTCCACTGCCTTCCCAGCGTGCCTATGCTGGCCTGGGAGGTGATTTCTGGCCTATTTCTCCCTCAATAAAGCCCTAGTGATGTTGAGGAGGGCTGATGGGGAGAGAGGAACAAAGCTGGCCTGTGGTTGTAGCTGTCCATCAGTGGTGTGGTGCCCAGTGCTCACTTTGCTGTGGGATGGGATAGTCTGCAAGAGACCCATGGTTTCAACAGCCTTATAATTTGTAAGGTAAAAAAAGGATGATTATGGTCATCTATCTAATTTCCTGCTAAGCACAAACAACAAAACCTTCTGTATGAATCATACACAAACCCCCTAATTTATAGAGTTAGATCCTGCTTTCAAAACGCATCAAGGAGGGATGCTATATAACGCCACAAAAAGCTTGCAGAGAACATTGCTCCTGAACATTTTGGGTTTGACTCTGTTTCCCCTCCCTTCAACACTCAGCCCTGAATAGCCATTATGCAGAAGGAGAAGTTTGAATAATTGACTTGTTACTCCTCTTCAAACACTGTTACCTCTTGCTCCATAAGGCCTGTTGTAAGGACCAGGATGGAATTCCGTTCCTTCACTGCAGCCTTTACCTTCTGAGAGAGTCACAGGCATCGGTGGAGATTGCTGGGGAAATCTATTTGAAGTGGAAAAGGCTGGCTCCACACTACCACAGGATGCTCAGGGTGGCTTGATTTGCACCCATGCTCTCCCAGAAGGGTGTCCAGAAGGGCCACAAGACCATCCATATGCCCCACTGCCAGAGCCCAGCATCAGCCATCAGTGTTGGCAGGTGGCATAGGCACCTGTTGTAGACATCTGCCACATTGGGTGTGCTGCCAGCATCCTGCTGTCCTTGAAAGACATGTCCAGCTTTACTCCTGATTCTCATGGTAAAACTGATAGAGGACTTACATAGGTTTTTAGCTTGTTTCTTTGGATTCTGTATTAGTTTCCTCCAAGGAGAGTCACTTGCTTTGAACTCTGCTTTCAAATTAAAACTCACCACTGCATGTGCAGTTTTCAGTCCCAGGACTTATCTTTTACCTGCTCATATCCAGCTGAGCCCACACTCACTTTGCCTTTGCATTCCTCCTGATATGGTGGATGGGGCGAATGAGGCCCCACAGGGTCAGACACCTCTGTCACAATTTCTGGCAGGTACCCCAAGGCAGCCATTCTATCATGAGGTACAAGAGCCCTAAAGAAGTGTGAGCAGACAGGCATGGTTTTCCACATAAGAGTTCATGCGTGCACCACAGTCTTGAGGGGACTGCGTTTGCATGACAGGAGTATGACAAGAATTTTGAAAAAGGTCACAAATAATTCCTTAAATAAAGCTCCTGAGGCATTGGGACATAGTGCAGAGTGTGAAAAGAAAATGGCAAACCAGTCTTGTTCAAAGTCACAGTGAAAGCAGCATAGTAGATAGCTTTATTGCATGGGACTTACTGCAGAGCCCTCCAATATTGTAATTCACTATAAAAATGTCTGTGCCAGTCAAGGACTCAACTACTTATTTTTGCTAATCTCCAGGACAAATCATGTCAAAGGAATTTCACTTCAAAGAACAGCAATACAAAAATAAAAGTTTTCTCACCTTGCAGACCTATTCTCAGTTTGCAGTCAGCCATGTGCAAATCCTGCTGTGTTTGCAAGGCTGTTTACTCCTGTTAAACCCAAAGTGCCAAAACTCCTACAGGAAGGAGTTGAGATCCGGAGCACTGGCAAAAGGGCTGTCTGCTGTTTTCCCAACTGCTCAGGCTCTTGGAAAGCCACCAGGCTGTAGGGGGGGGCACTAGAATGATGCAAAGGCTCACTAAAAGTCACAACATCGTTGTGCCAACAAAAGGGCCAAAGCCTGTGTTGCTAATTAGAGTTGCAGAATCTGCTAGAGAGGATGAGTTATAGGAAAAGAACTGACCTGGAGCTGAGCCACACTGTTCTGCCAGAAACTAACTGCTAGGGGAAAAAAATCTCTTTTAACAGTAAAATCTCCCTGGATAGCATTAAAACCACCTTTCAGACAAACAGCTCTCAGTAGAAGAAATTTCACTTTACAAGAGCTAAGGAACACGTTTGTTTAATCTTAGCGAAGAGACTGACTTCATATTTTTAGTCATATCCCTACCACTTCTCGGCTGTGTTAAAACAATTTTACCTCTGGTCTCCAAACAGTAACTAATTTTTTGCTCCTTTAGAGTGCCCCAACCATGTTTCTCTCAGTAAGAGCTATCTCTCACTGGAGTTGAACGACATCCTCTACAATAAGGCTTGGGCTGGTTATCACAGCGTCTCTCTCATGACTAAAGATCTTCCTCTTTATGACATTTTCAGATGTTATTACAATTAGTGACACTCTTCTTAAGTGATAGGTGCCACCCGGCAGCATAGTGAACATTTTCTACACTAAGGTTACCTTCTCTTGCTTTTCTTGAATTTGGATAGGACTTCCCTGTTGCCAGCTCCTCTGCGCCTTGGCCACACTGGGTGCAAGCTGTCTGTGGTCTGTAAATCACACGTGGCTATCCTGGTACCTTCACTGAGGGTGTCCCTTATATGTAGGGCAGTTCCTACCTTCGTGGCCTCCTAATGCTTTCTCTGGCCTTATAAATTCACCCCTAACAGGATTTCTTCCTTTACCTTCCAGCAATCCTTATGCTACTCTCTTGTCTTAGAGTTTCTTTTTGTACATTCAGGATTGATGCTGATAGCATTCATTTGCATGAATGAATTTTACTAATGCAAGATCAGATCTTGGGAGTGCAGAGTAAGCCTGTAAAATGCCTGTTTGAAAGCATTGCCTGTGGAGGCACGTTATCATTATTGAGCCAGACCCAGTGAGCACCAACCACCTGTGGCCCCCAAGGCACTGCTTTCTAAGATCAGCAATTTCCATTGTGGCTGGAATTTGCTCCAGCAGTGCTGGGTCTCAGGAGAGCAACAAGAGGCCCACTGTGGGCTTCGGGACAATGCAATTGGTATCTCCATCTTTCCTGTTGGTAACTTGCCTTTCCCTTTCCTTCTTTTACCTTCATCTCCTTCACTCCTTTTCTTTTCCTCATTCAAGGTTTCTCCTCTTCTCAAATTAGCTGTTTCTCTCTTTTTTTTATCCCTCTGCTTCACCTGCCTCATTTATCTGCCCCTAGCCACATCTCTTGCCCTTGTTACACATCTCTGCCAAGTTTAGTCCTGTTGCTTTTAACTTCGCATTACTCTGTGGCTTCCTTCAAAACCTTTTTTTCTGTCCAACAGTGCTCCTCCTCTTTATCCTGTTATACATTAATTTATTTTTTATTATTGTGTTGCTATTTCTCTCATTTGCCTTTCCACCTCGTTGTTCTTTCA